ATGTCAACTAATATTTCATGCTATATATTATGTCAGTGTATGCATTTCTGTTTAACCTCTTGCCCTCATATTGTGTACTCCTTTATGCCTTTGCGGGCCAAAGTCGGTTGGCAGTGTTCTTCAAATAAATAAATAAAAAAATATTAAGTGAATGTGCCGATGCCGTTGTGGCGCAATTTTAGTTGACACTGCAAAGAAAATCTTCAGTCCGATTGCATCTTAAATACACATTAAACACATTCTGAAAACATGTAGGCTCCGCTAAGTAAAGCATCCGTTCAAAAATCTGAGTGCGGCTGGGAGGTTTTATAATTTTCCCCATAGCTTGTAGCGATCGTTCACTTGCGTTGCCGTAGCTTCCGCTGGAGTACATGAGCAGTATAAACTAAGTACAGGCCATGATTCTCTCAGGATCTATTGAAAGCAATCACGCAAAACATTAAAAAAGAAAACTGGATCCGGGGCCGTTTCCCTCTATATCAACAGAAGGAATAAAGTTACACATCACCGAAAGAAAACCAAAACGTGCTGTTAGGCAAGGTATTCCTAAAGAAATAATCGAATCTCCCTTACCAGAGGAGAATAATTAGTTTACAAAAAAACTACGTTCTACGCACGTTCCTGTTCTGCCCCGATTATTTAGTCTTGTTTCAATGCAATGCGTTAAATTCACCCACTCTGCAAAGCGAGTAAGCTAATATACAGAAGGAATAAAGCACTGTCGTGTGCGGGAACCACAGGACAAACCTGTCGAAGACGCTTATATTCCTCGCTGTATAGTACTAGGCGTTCTGCGAAATTTTATAATACTGTACGTTTTACAAGATTTAGGCACTGACAAATTAAGAAATTTAGGGCGTGGCTTAGGTTCACTATCTTGCTGTCTGATTCCTTCTGTGGCGCTCTTGCTGGCAAATTTCGCAGTCTTAGTTTATTTTAAATTGTGTTGCTGTATACAATAATTGGCAAGTGCACCGCACAAAAGGCTCCATATCTGTTTGTGGGCATTAAAGAAAAAATAAAGCATTAAAGTAAATAATATTGTTTTTATTATTATCCCCTATTGTTTAACATCTTTGTCAATGACTTATATAGCGTGGTTTCAAACTGCATTATTTACCGATATGCAGACGACACCCTTTTATTAACACGTCATACTTCCTACCCAGAAGCGCTTCAGATGCTCCAGCAATCCTCCAACAAAGTCATGGACTGGTTTTCTCGGAACTTGATTTCTATAAATGTGTCGAAAACAAAACTCGTCTGCTTTCGCAATCCCTTGAAAGTAGTGTCCTTAAATATTCCTTTTTTGCTACACACATCAAACTGTAGCTCGTGACACTGCTGAAGTGCCGTATTCCGACTCTGTGAAATACCTTGGTATACACTTCGACTCCGACCTTTCGTGGAATTCTCATCTAACGAAAATATGTTCGAAGTTGAGAAGCGTTTCTTTTCTGCTTTATAACATCAAAACTTTCATGCCCCTCGGCTTACGCAAACGCGTTGCCTATTCGTTAGCCTATAGTCACCTGCGCTATGGTATAACTCTTCTCGGTTCATGCTCGAATTTATGGCAAACGAAAATAGACAATATCTTAAAGGGGATTTTGAAAAACGTGTGCTATAACCTCAATTATTCTCACTTAGACCTTTTTGAGACATTGTCAATGCCGAACTTTAGATCTCTTTTTTTTAGAAACAGTTGTGATCAATCACTACTGGTCTGACGACTTTAAATCTCCTCGTCTCGTCTCACGGCAGCTACGGAACGTTTCCAAATATCTCGTCCCGAAATGCTACACACGGCACGGGAAAACTATGCGTTCATTCTACGTTCCAGACATTTTTAATCAATTACCATCAGATCTCTGGAACCTTACGTCAAAGAAAAAACTAAAAAAGCGCCTCCGTCATATGGATTTACTAAAAGAAAAAGGATAACTGTCTTTTTTTTTCACATTTCTGTGGAGTATGTTTTTGTGACTAGGAGAGACTCATCGCGTGGTATTTCTGTCCCTCATACTTTGTGTCGATCTTTGAATGTGCTGTGAACAGACGTGCCGTGTGAGTGCGTCCTTTTTGTTCATTCTGCTAGACTCCTCATCCCGAAGATCTGTGCCTCAAAGTTTTGTGTCGATTTTTTTTTTATGTCCTGTGACCAGACGGACAAACCAATTTTAACTCTTTTTTTCTCCTGTTTTCTTCAAATAATTTATATTGAATAGTACCGCTGAAGTGGACATTTACTGTGGACTTCTAGTGTCTTAACGTTTTTTTTTTTCTTGTTTCTGACCGATTATGTTACCAATTCTACCCAAAAGGGTTCAGTCACACAAGCCCATGTCGGCTTTGACGAACCTGACAGCTTCATGAGTATAGTCCTCGAAAAAATAAATGTATTATTATTATTATTATTATTATTATTATTATTACTCCGCAACAAAACGATAATACGTTGCGCTGTGTTTCTTATAATGTCAGTGACCATAGTAAACCTTCATTAATTTCTCATGACTGCGTATGTTATATTGCAAACGAATGTGGTATAGCTATTAGCTACAATCTTATCTTATATTTGACGTACATCATATGGCATACGAATGTGGTTTAGCTACAAGATTATGTTCCGGTTAGAACCGGAGCGTTTCGGCGGACGGTATCTAAAAAAAAAATAACTAAAAAAATACTAATACAAAAAAATTCTGGTGTCCGGCGATGGACAGCAACTGATAACTATAGCCGGCGAAGTACTGACTCGATATCTACGCCCCCCGTTGGTAGCCATGTCTTTCCTATGAAACTTTGTGTGTCGCAATTTAGGAGAATCTTTGGTATCAGTTTGGACGCAGGATCACGAACGTAATCTGCTGACGTCCGAGACCCGCCAAAAAGAGATTTGAGGACGGCAGATTACGCAATAGAAGAAAGGACACGTTTCGCAGTATCTAGGTCAGATCGAAAAGAGAGTCCGTTTCAATTTTACGTCCTTTTGCTTTTTTTTAACAGGCAACTTTCCATCAGAAATTTGGGAAGACACTTACCAAACCAAATTCTTATTTTGGGTCGAATATCGTCAGATTTTTTGTCATGTGTAGTTGTAGTTCTGCATGTCGATTCGTTTCGTTGATTGTTTGATCCCCACGAACTGAAGTAAGCACTGTAAGTCAGCTTAGTTAAGGCTTAGTACTAAGCAAAATTTAGAAATTTGTTTAAAAATCTATAATTTTTGGAAGATATAATGTTTTCGCGATTACGACAGGTCGAATTTTAGAATATGTTCTTTGGAAAGCGCAGTTTAAACATTTCTCTTCATTTTTTCATCTGTTTCTGGTGCATGCGTATAGAGTTATAAGTACTAATGTGACCCATCCTGGCCCCAATCAAGTGGAACATTTATTTCTAATGCCTGGAATAGCTAAAGAACAAGACGATGTTTCAAATAATGCCCAAGCTATTACTTTCGGCAAGGCATTCGGTGCCCCGACCGTCGTGATTTGGGGAAACAAAAACCGGTCAATAGAGTAGCATGGATAGTATCGGGACTGAAAACAGCTTTATTCGTTGGGTTATTCACTAGGACGTTCAGATGCTCACAGTCTAGAAAAACAATGAACCCTTTTCAAAAGTGAGCGCGGTGTAGTAGCGGCAGCGCCAATTCTCTGTGTCCTTGGGCACGCACTCTGGGAATCTATTGGGCACGAGAGTTTCGTCATTGTTCGGCGTGGACTCGGCTAAGCTTAGTCGGTATTGAGAACGAGTGCTGAGTCGGCGCCCGGCGAGCAGTCGGATCAAATTACAGAAGAAATGGCGTCCAAGAAATGGCGACCGCCAATGTTGCTCGACTGGGTTTTGGAACGTGTATGTCAGACCGCGCCGGTTTTAAATTTAGCGGACTTGTGTACGTCTCTCTGGATTCATCTCACGATGTCGATCTGACAGTGTGTCGTCACGGCAACACTGTGACGTCAGAAAAGATTGTTACGTCACATGACGCATGACGTCAAAATCACGTCACGTGACATCAAGGCGTCACGTGACGTGGTTACGTAACACTGCGACGTCAAGCAACACCATGACGTCGTCGCTTTCTCGCTAAAGGTCTCCGCTGGTCATTTTCCAGCTAGAGTTAGCGGGCAACGTCCTCCTACCCACAAGCACACCCCGGGATACGCTGCAGAAGATCGACAATGAAGGCCATCGTCTAGAAAACCTGTCTGTTCTTGGGCAGTAGTGCAACGCTTATAGCCATCGATAGCTTGAAATAGCAGTTATACCGCTAACACAATATGTGTGTTCCCCCCCCCCCCCCCCCCCTCCTAAGAAAGAAACAAAAAACATAGTTTTTTTTTTTAGTAATTTACGCATCGCTGACCGCTCATTATCAGACCAAATGTAATGCTGGTGGTCCGAACGAGATGCCGAAGTTCCAAAAGTTATATAAGTGATTTGCTGAAAATTTCAATGGTAAAATGGGGCTCAGTTTTGCCCGCTTTCGGTAGCTGGTGCTATTGAGCTCAGTTTATTCGAGAGACTTTACACACACAATATATATATATATATATATTTTTTTTTTTCTGGGGGGGGGGGGGGGAGTTTGTGCATCATGCAAAATACACTGCGTTCGCTGTCAACGCGAAAGCAGAATCATCCGGGGCACACCTCATGCAAGTTCGAAGCACGTTTACTCCATATACGTTTCTATGCTTGGAACAGATGTCTACAAGCAGTGTTTGTATGACGTGTGTATGACGCGACTTAGGCTAGGTGGCGCAAGCTGCCGCCCGTTACAAAGGGTATATCCATTAACATCCATCCACCCGCGACGGGATATAGTCGTACAAGGAAGAAACACGCCTCGGACAGTGTCCGCTGGCCGTCATTTGTGCGACGTATTGGGGCAGTGTGTGACCGCGGCACTAATCTTTGTCACTGACGGTGAGTCGTGACACGTCGACCCAGACGCGGCTTTCTGAGCGTTCTCGAACTTTCCTCTGCAGCCCTGGGAACGATGGGTGCCGGCATGGATCAGCTGCCCAGCCACCTCCAGGGTTCGGTGTGTCCCCCGGGCCACCAGGACCAGTCTCCGATGCTGTCGGAAGGGGACCTCGGAGACCCCCCGGCCGTGGCCGCCTCGCCCCACCAGGACTCCCCCGCCCTGCCCACCGGAAGCACGCCGCTGATGACCCCGTCCTCCGTGTCCCCCGGTTCCATGAGGCCGCTTCTTGGTACGTATCGTGAACCCATTTAGGCCCGGGAGTTTTTCGTATCGGTCGTTTCTGCTGGCCTGCAATGCTCCCCGCCACCCCCATGCGAGATCCAGAGCTATGCAGACAACATTTTGCGACGCGCATGCGCACTAATAAAGAGCGCCCTGCGGGCAACTAAAACCACGAAGTGTGTTTTAAATCCATTGTCGTACACCTTCTGTGCACAATGTTTGCTGGAGCGCACGGGCCGGGCGTCCAAGAGCATTGCGGGAGGACGGGACGAGCAAAGCTTGGAGACGTTTGCCTCCACCACACACCTTGCTATTGAAAACGCGGTCCATGGCCCACGTGACCTCAATCAAGCAGTTCAAAACAACCTCAAATATAGGCACACTGTGTAATAGTGACGCCTACGTTGTAAAAAAACGTAGCAAAAAAAAAAAAAAAAGTCTACGAAATATTCTTAATATGGAGTGTTCGTAAATCGTTTCCACTGTCTCGCAACAATCTCCGAAACACTCTACGTGATTTGGGAATCTGCAGATGATCCTAGCAACTCGTATGCGCCGGAGTGGTCTCTTTGTTACTAATAGCATAGCGGAGGGGCCAAAAAACGATAGGCGAAATGTCCCTAATAGAAAGTTTTTGTAGTCTGTTTCCCATTTGTCCGCAATGCTCTCCGCAATCCACTATGAGATCCAGAACTCTGCATAAAACGCTAGCGACGCGCATGCGTAGTAGCATCGTTCATTTTGCGGAGAGCATAGCGGAGGGAAAAAAAAATCTGTCTAAGAAATGTCTGACATTGGTAGTTTTCGTGGACCGAAAAATCACCACAATGTGGTCAGCGTGACATAAGCAATTTTTTTATCTATTGCAAGGGGGGACACAGCAAATCCAGATCACTCTTATCATGATTACAAAGAAGCGGTAAGCGTGTCACGGAAAGGCGACACCAACGTCTCATAGGCTTCCCAAGAACACAAAATGAAATGTCACTGAGACAGAGATAATCATAAACCATTTCATCCACTGCTTTATATATACAAAAAAAATCCATCTTGCATTAGCCATTTGTTCGGGGATACCAGACCGGACAAAATTCAGAAGATAAAAGTCAAAATAAATGCGCCTCCCCAAACTAGATCTTTCAAGCAATACATGACTCGCACCGACGTCCCATCAACAGCCATTGTGGGTACACTGCTGCTGAGCGCGATCCTTTTGCAGCATACACAGTTTACACCATCAAAAGCTTAATATTTCCTAAGCAATAACAAACGTGAATGACCGCCAGTATAATGCGATAACGTCCCGTCCAAGTCAGGTATAGAGTCACCGCATCGAAGATCGAATTCCACAATATACTTCATTTCAACTTAGGTTTGACGCAGCTGACACTATCACCTAATGAGACCAATCAATCAAGGTCAAAAGCGCGATTCACCGGGTCTTTTTTGTTTACGATTGGTTCAGTGATGTTAGAAACACGTACAGAAACTAGACCAAAACCGCGATGGCGCTTTTGATGGTGTTTGACGTCTAGCATCAACTCGTAGCGTCAGCTGCGTTTAGACGTAAGGGGAAACGAAGTTGAATCAAGGACAGTTGAAGAAATGCGGAACGTGGCTCATTATATTCACATTTCTTGGTTTCTGATTCGTTTTTCAGCAATTCTAACGGATAATGCCGCAATGGCATCTTCTGTGCCGCGATAATTAGATGACCATGGACTCGCCGCGCTCTCCATTTCTAGAGCCGTCAGCGACTATAGAATAAGAAGCAGAACCCCAGTCTTTTGATAATACAAGGGCACCAATCGGGTGAGATTATCGGATCAGCCTAAGCGGTACAAGTTGACGACTGTTATGTTAGGACGTCAATGACTGAGACCAGAACCATAGCCATTCCATAAGCGTTGTGCCCCGAGATCCTGCCTCGATCTCTCGAGCTCCCCCAACACTTCTTCTTTATTTACGAGTGCGTATGTCAGGAACATCACATTTTTCCCCCTTTAATTAAGCAACCACCAAAGGTAGTTACTGGTTTGCAAAACGCTTTGGTGGGTGTCGGATTCGAGTAGGATACCGCCCCACTTTGAGATGTTCATCCGTCATGTCTCCCGTTACGTCGCTCGACCCCGACCTTGTTGTGGGAGTCTGCGTCTCGATGTCCTCGGCCTCGACAATGACCGCTGACGCTCCAGGATTAGGACGCGTTTGTTGGTTGTTGGCCACTGAAATCTCTTCCGATGATGTCGGGACACACACCGGTTTGTATACATGTGAGTACTGTCTGGTGACTGTTCTCGTTGCGGCTGAGCCGGGATCAGCTGATCCTGATGGCGTCTCCATATCCTGCCGGGGGACACCTGTACCTGAAAGGATACCGGTCCTGTTTGGGAAACGACAGTACCACGCGTCCACTTTGACGATCCTCGATAGTTCCTCGCGTAGACATCATCACCCTCTGTCAGCGTGCATTCGTGTTCCGGCCTCGCCCTTTGTTGTTTGAACTGAGACCTCGCCACTGTGTCCGAAATGGTGGGTTTCAGAAGATCTAGTCTGGTTCGCAGCTTTCTCCGCATCATTAGATTGGCCGGGGACTCTTTGGTTGTTGGATGAGTCGTGTTTCTGTAGGATAGAAGAAACCTTGAAACCTTGGTGTCAATAGACACCTCAGACGTTGTCTTCTTTAAGTGGTTCTTCATGGTCTGGATGAATCGCTCTGCCAATCCGTTAGTCGACGGGTGATACGGTGCAGACGTAATGTGCACAATACCGTTTGTCTTGACAAAGGTCTTGAACTCTTGAGACACGAACTGTGGCCCATTGTCTGATACCACGCTGACAGGCAGTCCAAAGCGTGCGAAGCACTGGTGCAGGCATTTTATCACGGCTTCGGACGTCGTTGAGTTCAACACGAATACCTCTGGCCATTTAGAATGTGCGTCGACTAGCACGAAGAACATCTTGTTCATGAATGGCCCAGCCAGGTCTATGTGGACTCTTTCCCACGGTTGTGTTGGCCAACTCCACGGGTGTAACGGTGCCTGTGCTGGGTTATTTCGTTGCATTTGACACTGCTTACAGGTTCCCACTTCGTCCTCAATGTCTTTGTCGATGGTGGTCCACCACACATAGCTTCTAGCTATTTCCTTTGTTCGAACGATACCGAAGTGATCGCTGTGCAGCTCTTTAAGGACTCTCTCTTGCAAAGTTAGGGGAACAATTACTCGTAGGCCCCACATTAGGCAGCCTTGATGAACCGATAGTTCCAACCGACGTGTGAAGAATGGTATCATTTCTTCTGCGCCTTTTTCACTTCCCCAGCCCTTGAGCACCTTCTCCAAGACTTGGCTTAGGACGGGATCACGGGACGTAGCCTTTGCAATATCTGTGCTCTTCACTGGGAAGTTGCTGAAATAGTCGCAGTAGAACACGTAGGTTTCATCTACGACGAATTCGTCTGAAGTCTTCGCAGCTTGCGGGAGTCTTGAAAGGCAATCGGCGTTGGCGTTCTCTTTAGACGAACGATAAACGATGTTGTATCGATGTCCTGCCAGTCTGCAAGCCCATCTCTGAAGGCGTGCTGCCGTCATCGTCGGAACTCCAGTCGTAGGTCCCAAAATCTTTTGAAGTGGAGCATGGTCGGTTATTAGTGTAAAGGGGTACCCATACAGGTAGTGATGGAACCTTTTTACACCAAAAACAATGGCAAGGGCCTCTTTTTCAAGCTGCGAGTAGTTCTTCTCATGCGTGGACAGTGTTCGTGAGACGAACGATACGGGTCTTTCTGTCCCGTCTTTCATGATGTGGGACAACACCGCTCCTACGCCGTACGCTGAGGCGTCGCATGCCAACACAATCGGAAGAGTTGGGTCAAAGTAAATCAGCACTGGTGCTGACGTCACCTTCTCTTTCAGAGTCTTGAAGGCCTTTCTACATTCTTCGTTCCAACTCCACTGGACATCCTTGTGCAGCAGGAGGTTCAGAGGACTCAAGATGGTTGCCAAGTTTGGGATGAACTTGCCATAGTAGTTAGCTAACCCCAAAAAGGAGCGCAACTCTGCTTCGTTCTTTGGCTCGGGTGCATCTCGTAGAGCAGCCACCTTGTCATCCAGTGTCCGTAGTCCCTCGCTGCTGATGACATGGCCTAGGTAGGACACCTCTTTTTTGAAAAACTCGCACTTCTCCTTTTGAAGTCGGATGCCGTTCTTTTTAAGGCGTTTGAGAACCTCTTTCAGGTTCTTCAGGTGCTCCGCTTTTGTTCTTCCTGTTACCAGGATATCGTCAATGTAACAGGTGGTGTGCGTCAGGCCTTGTAGTACCTGATCCATCGTTCGTTGAAATATTGCTGGAGCTGAGGCTACTCCAAAAGGAAGCCTGTTGACTTGAAAAAGCCCCAAATGCGTGTTCAAGGTTAAGTACTTCTTTGAATCTTCGTGCATTTGAACTTGTAAGTACGCTTTGGCTAGGTCAAGTTTAGTGAATAGCTGCCCTCCCGCCAGCGTTGCAAACAGCTCTTCGATTCTGGGCAAAGGATAACTGTCCACATCGATCACGGGATTCACGGTGGACTTGTAATCCCCGCAGATCCGGATCTCGCCGTTTTTCTTGACGACTGGGACAATTGGAGAAGCAAACTCACTTGTTTCTACCGAAGTCAAGATGCCTCTTTCTTGTAGAGCCAGCAGTTCCTTGGCCACAGCATCCCTTAATGCGTGTGGTACTGGCCTCGCCTTTTGAAATGGTGGAGACATTCCGTGTTTCAGTTTGAGTTTGGCTTCAACTCCTTTTACGCATCCCAGCTCATCTGAGAATATTTCCTTATATTCATCCATCAGACCTTCAATCTCTTTTCTTCCTATTTCTTCGGAACAGTGTATCGCTTTGATGTTTGCCCAGTCCAACTTCATGACTCTTAGCCAGTCACGTCCAAGAAGAGGTGGTCCCTTGAAATCGACCACTTGCATCTTCAGGTTGGACTCCTTGTCTTCATGCATCACCGTCACTTGTACTTCCCACAGCGGCTTAATCTTTGCTCCGTTAAATGCCTTCAAAACGACATTACTTCGTTGCCTTTTGAGGTGCGAAAACTTAGCCTGGTACTCTTGTAATGGCAAAACAGATACTGCTGCTCCTGTGTCTATTTCCATTCTCAAAGGAATTCCACTGACCGATAGCGTTATTTCTAACGGATCATTTCGCGCGCTTCTTAGCTCGTGCATTTCTATCTCTTCGTCGGAATCTTCCACAGTTACAGCCTTCATCGTTTTCTTTTCGTTGCGCTTACTGAAGGGTTTAGACGCTTGTCCTTGCCACTTTGGAGCTGATCCTTTACAAACTCTTTGCAGGTGCCCTACTTTTCCGCATCTTCTGCATTCCAGGCCCTTCCAGCGGCAATTGACCGACTCGTGATTCTTGTAACCACAGTGTGAACAACCTTCTTTTTCTAAAGGTTTGCTTTCCACCTTAAGAACTTCCGCGCTGGACGACGCTGAGCCGTGTAGAACTTTCGCACTGGAGGATGCGGCTTGCATTGCTACCGCCATTTCAAGCGCTCTCTTGAAAGTCAAATCCTCTTCTGAAAGCAGCCTTTTTTGTATGCTGTCATTGCATAAGCCACATACAAAGCGGTCTCGCAAAGTTTCACTCAGCGCTGTTCCAAATTCGCAGGTTTGAGCCAACTTTTTCAGTGATGCGACATACTCAAGGATGGTTTCGCTGTCCTTCTGGTCCCTCTTGTGAAAGCGGAAGCGTTCAGCAATCACAATTGGCTTCGGTGACAGATGCGCCCGAAGTATCTCGACAAGTTCCAAATAGGTCTTACTTGATGGGGCATCCGGCGCTACGAGGCTCTTGAGTAGCGCGTAGGTCCTTCCGCCGATGATGCTCAGGAATGCCGCCACTCGTCTCGGTTCCTTCACGTCGTTGGCGATGAAGAATTGGCCGATTCTTTCGGCATACGTTGGCCAGTCCCCTTCCGCTTCATCGAAGGGTTCGATGCTTCCAAGCGTTGACATGGCCCTTGTCGTAGCGCTGAACGGCTTCCTTGAAGTCAATCCTAGACGGAGTACCCCGTCGCCAGTTTGTTATGTTAGGACGTCAATGACTGAGACCAGAACCATAGCCATTCCATAAGCGTTGTGCCCCGAGATCCTGCCTCGATCTCTCGAGCTCCCCCAACACTTCTTCTTTATTTACGAGTGCGTATGTCAGGAACATCACAACGACGACGTGTATCTGACATGTGTCAGTGAGCAGTGTTTGTCGCTTGTCGCTGTAGAGGTATACGAGGTTCATTTAAGTTCACGTTGTCTGCATCCGTCATCAGGACCACTCTCCTTCTGTCCCGCAGGACCTGCAAGTCCGAACGACTCGGAGTCCTCGAAGCCCTCCGTGGACCTGGCCGTGGACGACTCGAACAGCGAAGACGAGGACGGTTCGGATATCAAGGGCGACGACCCATCAGGGTCGCAGTTGGGGTGCAGGGACCCTTCCGGGGGTCCAGGTCCCGGTGGCTCTCAGCCGCAGAAAAAGCGCAAACGGCGGGTCCTCTTCTCCAAGGCGCAGACCTACGAGCTGGAGCGCCGCTTCCGACAGCAACGGTAAACTATACCGGGGCTTCTTAAAAAAAACATCTATCTGTCTTAATAAAAAGACAAAGAACCCTTACCGGTGTCGGCATTGTCGAGTTTTAGGGAACCATTGTGCATATTCGATATGGTTCAATGGGCCCTCCGGCACGAAGTGCGCATGTGCGAGTCTTCTGTGGTAGCGCATGCGCAGTTCGTACCGGGGGGCGCATAGTACCGTATCGGATGCGCAAAAATGGTTTTATAAAACTCTCTATTCATGCCATGAAGCAGTGCAAAAGCCTGCCGACCTTTTAAACAATAATTCACATATAAGGGATCATATAGTTCAAAGCTATACGTGATTTGGTGTCTAAGATCTTAAATAGTGTTCTAGTAAAAAATGGACTTTACTTGATGGCAGGAACGGCCCAGAAAACTTAGGAGCTCGGGGAACCCAAGGCGGCGCTCTGAAAAGCCCACGAGTTCCTAGGAACCCAGTTTAGGAACCCACTAGCTATACGATGTTCACTCGTGCCTTTAACTATGATGCTTCCGACGTGTTCATGACTGGTGCCTTTACCTTATCCAAAAAACTGGTCCCTCTAATCATAATGTAAAATCAGCGCAAACAAACACGGACGAAAGAGAAGAAACACGCAGACAGTACAAGCGAGTCAGCGCTTGTACCGTCTGCGTGTTTCTTCTCTTTCGTCCGTGTTTGTTTGCGCTGTTTTTACATTATGATCAACGAATACCAACTAGCCCAACTCTCGACATTAATTCAGTGGTCCCTCTATTTCTCCCTGATGACATCACGAAATTGTGATGCTCTCGCCGGTCGCGATCCTGGCGGTGTCCAAACAACCGAGGTGGAACGGCAGATGCCTGTTTTGCTGCAGGTGGCTCTCCAGCTTGACAGTTCACGAAAGCTTCGGCAGACAGGAGTTGGGATACCGTAACGACAGCGACACTTGTGTTCAGTCGTACCATTTGCCGTGACTTCTAGCACCAACCACCAGGATCGTGACATGCGACAACATGACAGGCCTGCTTTTGGGACTTCATTTGTTTCCAGTTCGGGACCACTTTGATGTATGAGCGAGATATGATGCTAGAGCCACCATTCAAAGACGCGTTCAAGAAACCGTAATTTCACGAAGAATATCCATGATTTATGGTTTCCTTTGTGTGCAATCTGAGCGCTGCGCATGAATTCAAGTCACAGCCTTTTAGGACGCTCGTAGTTGATGTATAAAGAAGGAACCGTCTGCTCATGCCCCGAAAACGTTAACCTTACGATCATGCTCCGCAACCAAGATAAATTCCTTAGGTTTAGTAGATTTATGACCAGATCAGGTGAATATTTCAGCTTAAATTGAGCGAACCCTGACGGCAGATGTTAGGAAATTTAGGCTGCAGTTAAGAAAAATTAATCTGAAGGGGGCACTTTATGTCGGAATGTATTATTTATCATTCGCGTCGGTTATGGTGGCAAATATATCTCTAGGTAAAGAAAGGTTGCTGCCTGCGCTTTTTCTGAAGCTGTATTTTGTCAGAAGGTCCGATTAGGGAAAAACTAGAAACACCCTGCTCTTATATTAACATCTAACCTCGACCTGGGTAGTTCGCGTCGTCATATCTCTTGCAGATTTTGAGCCGAAGTTGAAGAAAATGGTTAGACCAAGTACTTTTACCCAACGTCTTTGCAAACATTCTTACACCGCTTTAACAAATTGGTGATGCGTTTCTGAAAGATGCTCAAAAAGTGAACTTTCGTACGTATAGTATTCTACTCGATGCGGACTTTCAAGGATATTCAAAACTCAAGGTTTTACGGGCATATTTTTATCTAGGCTTAAATTTCGCAAACGCACACGCAGATAACTTGTAAACTGCAAGAAACAATTATGACTAAAACAGAGATGCATTCAAGTAGTGAACGAGACAAAGTTGTTTCCCTTCTGAGGGTAGCTACGCTCATGAGTAATTGCAGGAACATGTGAACCACACGCAAATAAACATAACCTGTTATTCAGTCTCATCAGCGATTATTTTGAAAATAGGATTGATAAGTATGTTAACGGAGTTTGTGGGTTGATTCTGATTGTCGTTGTTCTCTATTTATTAGGTACCTGTCGGCCCCAGAGCGCGAGCACCTCGCTTCCATCATCCGACTGACACCAACCCAGGTGAAAATCTGGTTCCAGAACCATCGCTACAAGACGAAACGTGCAAGACAAGAGAAAGGACTCGACGGTACGGGGGGCAACCCCCTCCCATCGCCGCGTCGTGTCGCTGTCCCAGTCCTCGTTCGAGACGGCAAGCCCTGTCAACCGACGTCTAGCCTCAAGTCGGAGGTCGGGCCTCCTGTTCCTTTCCCTGGAGACTTGGGTCCGTCGGCGGTCGCAACCTGCATGGCGTCGTTTGGCAGCAACGTCATGCCCACGTATACACATCCCCTCATGCAGCCTCAACATCGATGGTGGGGAATGAATTTAAACTGACGTCCTCGCTTTGAGACTGCCTAAAAAATGAGTCTATCGAATTCCGTACAAGTCAGCATCGATGGAAGTGAACCTGTGCTTGTAGATTCAGCCCTGGTCTGGTTTGCTGAAACAACACTTGTGACTCTTTGACAAAGAGTAACGGTCATCTGCTCCCGCGAGGTCAACTGGAGGCACTCGTTTTCATGTTCTTGCTGTCTACGCACGTGTTCTGTACGTCATGCCAGGCTCTATACCAGGGCTCAAGACGTCACCTGCAGACTGAAAAAAAAACGTTACCACATGAACTTTCTGCCCTCGTGTCATAGTGTCATCGCACCGCAGTGCTAACCATGGGGATTCTCAGAGATACCCGCGTCTCTGCAATTGTTCAGCATCGAGAGACAAGCGCACAAACAGTCATCAAATGAGCCATTTCCTCGTGCTTAACGAGCGTCTTCAATTATCGTTAACTTTAGAAAATCCGCTGACCCCTATCTGGTGGAGTGGTGGAGATCAGTAATGCAGGTGGCAGTGCAACAAATCAGTGGTGTGTAAATGTCCAAATACCCCTAAAGGACACCTTGTTAAAATGCTGCCACTCAAATGGCCGCATGGTGGACGATGGTGCATGAGAATTTTATTTGGAGACAGCTCAAGACAGCGCTAAGCAACATCATTGCAACTCACTCATCGAACCGTGAACTACCCGAGTGACCGTTACACCAGGGCCATGTGCACAACGCACGCAGGAAGGCATGAACAGTGAACCAAGAAGGCCATCAACGCACGTTGGAGACTGAGACTATGGTACTTGTTGCTATGCCGTGCTTGCCGACGTCCACTACGCTGCGGTCGCGCTTTGCGCACGAGACTGTTTCTGTTCCTTAGCGGTGCTTATGCACGTTCGTTGAACAGTGCCTTAGTCATGACGTTGACTTGCGTAGGGGCGCTTTCTGACCTTGATGGCAATGTGCATTTACGACTTCAGGAGTGTCTGCCGTCGTTGGGTGTCCGTTTACCTCGCATCCTTCAGTAGAATTAGTTGTATTGCGTCAAATTGAAAACACTGGGTTTGTGTCATTGCTTTCCTGTCATTTGCATTGTCATTGTGGACGCACGTACGAACTGTTGAGTTGGACCGCGACATGGAATTTATATTAAGCCTCACCGGCCCAAACAAGCGCTTCACGAGCATTATGGGCGTGCGCGGAAACGCGGGTTAAGAAACTAAAACGAATTATTCGATCGAATTCTTTTCCCCTCTAATGTAGTCACTGACATGGTGACAACGGTAGGGAGGAACTTCAGTTGTCCCGCCTCCAGCGCGAGCTTCCTGCCTTCAGCAAGGCATCGGCGTCTCGTGCCCCTCGATCGCCCGTACGCAGCCAAAGCACGGCAGAAAGCATAGAGCCATAGCCTCCTATATACTGATAAAGCCTGGCAGATCGCCACGAGAAGTGGCCGCCGAAATGGAACAGATGGAGCTGCAGCCAGCGGATGAGAGGAGAGCAACGTGACTGGCGCCCCGCTCCGGCGAGGCGCCGAAACACACTTCTCCCGACCGAAGACGTGTGTTTCGGGTCCTCGCCGCTGCAAAAGCTGTGCGCTGACGTCCAGGTTCCCCGAGAAATGGCTTTTTGATGCTCTGTGCTACCAGATCCTCGCGCTCCATATCCGCGACCGGGCACTCTATGGCTTTGTCGTCAAACTGCCAGGCTTTGTGAGTAGAGAGGAGGCTATGGAAAGACACTCCCTGCCTTTTCCATTCTGTCAGCGACTATAAAAGAGTACCACACGACATTAAGGGCGAGCATTGTAACTCTCGGGGTTTCCTATTTCCCCGCCAATAGTGGATTGGGCCGCACAAATACGGTACTTAAAATATCTTCTGACGCGACTGAAAGTTATTCTTCGTTACAAAAACAAACAACAAAAACAAACGAGGAATCACTTTCTGAATTACGTTAGGCTCTCTTGTCCTGCCAGTGTAAATAAGAAAAATAAGGCCCGCCTTGGGCCCCTTGTAGTCACTCCATTTCAATGACGACGTTGTATACAGTTTCGGTGTACATACATGATTGCCGATGCGTCTAGAGACAAAAAGACATATATATATAGATATAAAGCGCTAAATATATCAAGATATGAATCTATATATATATACGTATAAGCATCGTGTACAATCGCTATGTGTACATACGAAGAAGCGTGTGTTTGAGACGCTGCAGAGACTATTGACCCTGTGGTCACAGACATCTTAAGAAACGCAAGTCGTGGCTGAGTGTGTTCGCCCTCCTTTCTTCGTGATTGGTCGTTATTATTTGCTAATGCAACAATCTCATTGGCTGCAAAGCGATGATAGTATTCTCAGCCACGCCATGCGTTCCTGAAGCTGTCGGTGACAATAGTGGAACTTCATCCCAGCTGTAACTTCCATGTTTTCCCAACTCACTAGTTTCTTTCTTTATATATAGGTGAACAAAACACAGTAACATGCATTTATGGTACGGTACGCAGGAGAGAGAGGCATAGAAATGTCTCACACAAACGAACAGGTTACATATATAGACGAAGAAAGAGCGGCATTTATGTTCAGCTATGATTTGACTAAAGCCTGACTTGTATCTCTGGTTCTACTTGCGGACTCTCAGTGCATTCGTAGAATTAACGGCAGCTAGCTTTCATAAACTTGTTTCGAATCCTTGCATGTACATCCCGAGCCTAGCTTTCGAGATTATCAAAAGGAACACGTGGTTCAGCTCCGGGCTGTACAGTGGTTCCTATAGTCAATGTTTCTTTTCTTTTTTTTTTAAGTACAGTTTTGCTTGTGCTCATAGCTTTGATTCATGTTCATCTAGTCTTCAACGTCGCCATGGGTGTTCTCACATCATCTTTCATGCATCGGTTTTTTCTGGAAATTGTTCGCGTTGTTGACAAGTCTCGTGTTTTATTTTTGTTGAACGAAGGTAAATAAAAAACGGTGTCAAACTGCCACTTTTTGCCGGCATTCGTTTTGCTGGGAGAAAACAAAAAAGCTTGCTACATTGCACAGCTCCTATTGTCACCTTTATTTTCTGTTGTTGTGTACATAATAAATGGAAATGTGCATCACCCTTTCAACTGTTCCCGTGTCGCACTTAAAGTTCGTGGGAAACCTCACGCATCGCTATAGAAAAAAAAAATTCGGTCTGATAAAGGTGGATTGTTGTAAGTAATAAACAAGGACGCAAAACACCCCCTCTACTTCAAAACGTTCCCTACATACAAATAATAAACTTCCTCAATTTATTTCCCGCTTTACTTTACTTTCTTGTTTTATAGCTCTATAAACAGAGATAATAAAGTGTTACATTACTACCAAGCTTAAGTTCACAACTGCCAAAAAAATGTTTCTTTTTAAGGATTGGCTATATCAGTGTAGTCGTCTGAGGGTCAATGTAAATTGTCAGGAGGTTAATATTGAACGGGAGTACACACAGTTTCCGGCAAATTATGAAGCGCCAAACGTGAGCGATATTAAAGTTCTTTGAACTTACCATACCACACGTTTCTTAAGCTGTCGGTAACATCAGTTCCAGAAGAATCAAGGAAATCACCGAAATGAAGCCCACAATGGCGTCGCTGCGTTCTGGCATGCCTTTTTCTGATGCTCCCTTTGGCTCACTTGGGCCGTTCTCCCAGCAGTTTCAAAGATTTAGTTAAAACGAAAAGTCGGACACGATATAATTTCCTTCTGTTTCAAATTGTCCGTCTCAGGTAGCACGTGTTAAAAAAAAGTATTCAACGGTTGTATTATAAAAATAAGTACAAGGAAAAGGATATATTTTGCTTGCACGTTTCTGAATGACAGAGACGAATGCTTATTTCTGCGCGCCATGGAAATAAAGTGCGAATGAAAAGGAAACTACTTTAAAACAAGTCTATAAAAAAAAAAGAAGAAGCTCGGAGGCCATGGTAGAAGTGACGTTTAGCTCGATTGCACACCACTACACCTTTATGTTACATAACGAAAATGTAAAAAGAACACATGTTGGGAGTTTTCTTTTCTTGCGTTGTCCAACGCGCACTGTAGCTTTCTTCTAAAGTCGCGCCTGTCATAACTGCCATGCTCGGCGTGCGTGGGTCGCATTATCTTTCTTCCTTAGAAAAAGGGGCTTTCAAGTTAAGTGAAACATTACCCGACGGCTTCATAGAAAGCGAGAGATAAAACAATCAAACAAGACAAAAAAACTCCACTTTGCTGGCTTCGTTTTTTTTTTTTTTTTTTTTTCTAGAAACATGAACAGGAACGTTAACACTGACGTGCTTCAGAAAGGATCGCAAAAATATAAAAATAAAATCAATATACATTAGAGTGTCTCCCGCCTCATCCGGCTTCTTTTCAGCTGTCGCTCAAAGCTGGCGAAGTCATTTTTATGCTTTACTGTGTGCTAAGGTGACTGCATAGGGACGGAGCCAATGTTTGAAGGTTTAAAATATTGTTTGCAATATACATTTTTGGTTGAAAGTAAATGGTTGCGTGAGTTCCCTTTCTTCTTTACCGACATCTTTTGGCAGATGAGGCATGTTTCCTGTAAAAAAAAAGGTAGGCCGTACTTGTGATGTTATTCAAATTAAAAGAGCGATTACATGTAAGGTTGTTTTGCATATTTTTTTAATGTTTCGGTGCACCGGTTGTTTTTGCAGTCTGTTTTTCACACCTGGATTTCTTGCTTTTAAGTGGCTCGGCAACAAACATACGAGTCCTGGTTGGCACACAAGATGATAAGAAAAAACTGCACGCCTTTGTTTCGAAAGATTACAAACAATGAAAATGTCAGGAGCTTCTTCAAGACGTCCATAGAAGACGTGTCTTGCGGCCAAAGTCCTCAAGAGATCGCCAACACTGATGGGACACTGACAGTACGACTGTATTTGTGTGAAGTGTATTGTAGCGATATGCGTGTAAACACAACAGCAGCAACGTGTAAACTTGGAACTTTTGTGAAATCAATACATTTCTGCTAGGCATCATTAGTTCGAGTATAAGAGACATCAACCTATTTTTGTGCTGTGATTGCTTTGATTAGCTAAGCCTACGTCTCTTTAAACTTTCATTTTTGCGTTAAACGTATTCGTCGCTATAATTTTTAGGGGGCAAACTCAGACAACAAATATACTTATGGCAAGTTCTCAGACGAACGACGCAGTTCCTTTCCAGGAAATGCGTCCTACATTTATTTACCATAGGTTGCTTCTCTTACACCTGAATTACATTTGAAAATGCTAAACAGAAACAGCCCAATGGTGGTCTAACGACCTATGGCAAGCAGTTTATGCATATGGTTGTATCTGCTTCCAACCTTACGAACGCTCTATACAATTGACCAATAAATGTTAAACTTTCAGCACATACTTTCCTTGATTCGGAGGGGTGTAACCCAGTCTTTTAGGGCCATCTTGAAATTGGGATCTTTTTATAAAAAAAGAAAACAATGTATCATGTACTTTGCAGTGTTAGGCGTTAAATCATTAGTGTTTGTGCTGCTCGATTACCTGACTGCCCCACAAACAATATGTTCAGCTTTCGGATCTCCGAAGGGTGTTGGCTTATTGAAGCTACTTGCAAGCCAAAACAGGTTTGCTCGTAGATTTGCAACCAGCCAGTTCAAATGGTTGCATAACCCTGATTTTAGCCAAAGCTTAGGCGTTTTCTTTTCTTTAGTCGATTGAATCACTGCATGTTATTGTGACTGCCTGGAGCTGAGCTGGTTGGTATGATATGATTCTCAAGGTTTCCAGCTGAACGTAGAGGGAAAAAACCAGCAGTGTGTTTCTCTTTTTCTCCGCTCCTTGGTGTTTTCCTCTATGGTCAGCTGGAAACCTTCATAATCATGTTATATTGTGCACAATACGTTCGTTTTACGCAAACTAATCTTTGTTTTTTTCGGTGTTGCACAATGTGTTTGGAAACTTTCTCAATATCTAGAGCTTGAGAATGTGCAACCCATGGGAGGTAAACACTCCGTCACCATGTCTCTTCCCAATTTCTCAACTAGCACTCCTGCACGCTAACGATTACACCCTAGTTGCCCCAAATTAGTTAGTCGATCCGATCGGATTCACCAAAAGCACTTCGTATATAGATCTCATCTACCAAAATGATTTGATTGATCAGATCGGATCCACCAAAATCGTTTGGTCGATCAAAAATTTCACCCCAACTAACATTTATGCTGCCTTACGATGATGGTGACATAGCCCACTGAGGCCACAACTTGAAATTCTTAGAAATATTCTTACTCCTACTTTCGGGGGTTCGCGTACGCCCGCGATATTCAACCGATATTTTTCTTATTTTTTTTTTTTACATTTAAAATGTATTTGGAAATGCTAGTTACGCTACGCTTCTAACTATCGTTAAGGTAAAAACAAGAAATATTAAATTTCAGTTTCACTTTTTGTTCGAGCTCCCTTTAAGTGACGGTGTCGTCCATTCTGCTCCCACCATCTCTCCGAAATGGCTCTATTAGGCTGCGGTGGGCTGGCGCTCCTTAATCACCGGGCGGTATAATTTGGCGCGGTGGGCGTGCGTCGTCTTCCGCCGTGGCGAGGGGATTTCACGGGTCGTTAGCGGAAGGGTGGAGCACACAGTCCTTCTGCCCGTCCTAGACGGACGGACGTTCGTTGCTCGGGTCCCACTTCCGGTTCCGACGGACGCGCTCCTCCACCTACAGGCCACAACGGGAAACTAACGGGGAACGTCGCGTTCAAGCTGGGGAAGGGCGTGCGTAAGCCTGCGTGTCTGCGTTTCAAAGGGGCATTAAGGAGCGTATACCAAGACTGAGGACTGAAAGGAAAAAAAGGACGGAGGAGATTGTCATGTGCAGAATTCTACCTAACGCGTTACAAGTAATACGTTGCTTGTAAGTTACTTTTTTGGTAGCTAACTAACGACTTAGTTACTCCTCAAGGAAAGGAAAGAGTAACGCTTTTTTAACTTTCTGATGGGGTAACGAGCGTTATTTAGTTACTCCTGGAGAGTGATATGTACAGCACACGTACCCACCTCAATTCTCGCCCTAGCTCGCGCCAGTAATTTTCACGACGATATTTCGGTGCACCGGTTGTTGTATCAGTCTGTTTTTTACACCTAGATTTTTTCCTTTTAAGTGGCTCGGCAACAAACATACCAGTCCTGGTTGGCACACAAGATGATAAAAAAACCCTGCCCGCCTTTGTTTCGAAAGATTACAATGAAAATGTCAGGAGCTTCTTCAAGACGTCTACAGAAGATAGACCATAAAAAGATGTGCTCAAGGTACGCCAGTATAAAGACAGTTATTTTGGCATGAACGCGTTAGACGCAAAGAATTATTAAAGGCGACAAATATCGGAAACTGCTTCTTCATAAAAACGACACATTAAGGGCGATGAGGGAATAGCTCCTTGCTTTAAAGCTGGAAACGCATTCCCTTCGAATTGCAACAACGATTGACATAGGTAGTAGTTCCTTTTTGAGTGTGTAACGAGTTACTTTCCTTCAGTAACGTATACACGTCTGGTTCTGTGGATGAGGCTAGGAGCTTCGAGCGAAAAGGCTAGAGTCGCAGTCAAACTGCTCGTACGTCATGCGAAAGACACGATGTTCTTGCGGACCAGTGTTGCGGAGTTGCACTCCGGAGTTGGAATGATTTCGAAATCATTCCGCACTTCCGCGACCCAGGAGTTGAATTAGAATGGAATTGCGGCAGTGGTGGTAAGAGTGGAATGGGAATGGAAGTAAATATCTTTTGCCCGGAATGGAGTGGTAATGGAATGGGCTCGCGGCTCCTAAGCGAACTGTGTCGAGTTTCATCTAGCGCATCCAGGATGATGGCGTAATTTGATATCGCATGGTAAAGTTGCTCTTGAAACAGCATCATTGCACTGCAGGTGACTGACGGCTTGATTCTCACTGGCCTATGCTCATTTGACGATGAAAATGTCGGGCTCCCAGGGATGCAACAAAAACTGCAACGTTGTAGGCTGACAAGGTGTCGTTCCTGGCGCCGCGAGACGCGACAAAGTGGTGGCTGTAATCATGCGCGATTACACTTTAGCTTTTAATCCAGCCGATCTTCTAGCATTCGTGTAAAACA